ATGATGTGAAAAAAAAAAAAAAAAAAGCTCAACTAAATGTACATTCTTTTCAATCTTTCTTTTTGTGTGAAGGCTTTTGTCTTTGTATCTTTGCATTATTTGTAAATGAAATGTAATAAAAGTTCAAATGTTTTTGTCTCTGGCTGCTCAGCTTTTCTTGATTTTTCTTGCTGGAGCTTTTGGATGCGCCCATGTTGAAGGGTGTATAGTCACGTGTCCGGACACGAGGGAGACACTGTGGGTGACTTTGTATGGACGTGCAAACTGGAAGGATGGATGTGACTCGGTTTGGGCAGGAAATGTGCAGACTCGTTATCTAGAAGGTTCAAAGATGGCAAAGAGTTTGGAGCCCCCCTTTAATGCTGCTTCTGGAGTTGCCCCCGATTCAGAAGCCCCCATGCAACAGGATTACTCCTGTCAGCCTGTCATGACAATGGGTGCCCCCTGCCAGTCATGGGGCTGTCTGTAATCCTGATGTTTGTGCTGAGGTCTTGGCCAAGCCCTGGATTTGGTAAGTGCTGTGCTGGATTTTCCTCTTGCAGTTTCAGTAGAAGCACATTTCTGCACTTCCTGATGTACCCTGTTCGCGCTGTGATCTGTTGGGATCAGCAGCTGTGAAAGGCGGCTGCTTTCAGGTGATCCCTGCTGGCCCTCACAGCCCGGCACCCTGGAAGGTGGAGTGAGCAGTCACTGGGGCTTTCCTGGCTGTCAGCACCATGTAGGCCCTGGGATCACTGTGCTGCAGTTCAGCAATCATTGTGGGTGATGTGCAGAAAAGCAGAGCCCTGCCGGCTCTGCAGGAGTGCCAGAGGAAGGGTGAGATTATAGACAAAACAAGTCTGTGAGGCAGAGATCTCGGGTTTGCTCTCCTGGGTGCTTGCGTGACCTTGGGCAGAGAGGTGAAGTGAGTTGGCCTACTTTGTCCACCTAAGATGCAGCTAATAACTTATTTATAGCCAGGCCGCCACACACCTTAAAGAACTGCAACTTAAAGGATGGCACAGCTGGACACTTTGTACGTGGACGTTAAAGTGAGAATGTGAAACGATCGAGTGATTTGTTTGGCTGAATTTTTATGAATTCATGCAAACAGCAAAGGCGAGGTGCAGCTGGTAAGGGCAGTGAAACCTGGTGTAAGCTGATGATTAGAGCTGGCAAATAAGACAAGGAGTGAATAGCAACAGTTCTGTTAAGATGCTCCATGGATGGATGGCCAGCACTTGCAGCTGTGGCGAAGGACTTGGCCTCCTTGGGATTGACCTGTTCCTGGCTGTAGAGGTTCAGCTATATCAAAACTATCCTGGGGTAGTGGCAGGATGGCAAGCATGGTGATGTGCATGGAGTAGAGCACGCTCTGGGGGGCTCAGGCTGGATGGATGTACGTTGTGCAGCCCGGCGCACTAGCACTGTCACCCTCCGAGCACAACTGATCTAATCAGCGCAGATTTGGAGCTAGGTGCTCAGAGGCACGGGGACTTCAAAGTGGGGTTTGGACCAGAGCTCACACCAGGTTCAGCTCCCAGCCTGACTCTGCCCCAAGGAGAGAGAGGTGGATCCTGCCATGGTTCAGGACTTGTCATGAGCCTGGGGATGAAAAATGCTAGAGCATCCCACAGAGGAGCAGAGCCGTGCAGCTTGTCCTCTGCCAAGAGGAAAAAAAAGGGAGAGTTTCTCTGCTGACAGAGGCCTGGGGAGAGGTCACTGATAGAATAGGAATCATAGACAATGAGGGTGGAAGGGACCTCAGGAGGTCGCATTTAGTCCAACCCCCTGCTCCAAGCAGGACCAGCCCCAACT